ACTCAGCAAATTGGATTTATATATATTTATGCATGCTTCTAATAATCTAAGAGAAAAAGACTATCATTTGGGAGTACGGGAGACATGGGAGGAGTTGGGAAAAGGATTTGGCAGAAGCTGGAAGGAGAAAGTGAAGGGGGAAATTAATGTAATTATACTTTAATTGAAATGCATTTTTAAAAAACTCTGGGCAAGGAAGTTCAATGGTATTCCCTATTTTGGAGTTCAGTTCCAAAAACTCCAAAATTCAATGGTATTCCCTATTCCCTACTCTTGGGAGTTTCTCTCACTTTTCTCCAATTTCTCATTTTTCTATAACCACCCTCAATAAAGCTTACTTCCACTTTGCATGAAAATCCACTACTAGCCACGTTTGTAATCTTCACTGATGCGACACAAGGAACACAAGTCCACTGGCCTAGTAGATCTTGGGTGACTCGGAGTGTCGGGAACCCTATGTTGTTGGGTTACACACCACTGAACCATGAAAGGTCCTGTCACTCTCAAATACCCTGTATCAGAAGCATGTGTATTTTTAAAAAACTATACTGGCAATTTCACTCCAAAGTCTGGGAACTATAGAAAATACTTCTTTTTAGCTAATTTTGGGAAGAATCGTCGTTATTGAATCTTAGAAACCATTTATTTCAACTCTCATTTGTGGTGTGTGTGTGTGTGTGTGTGTGTGTGTGTGTGTGTGTGTGTGTCTAGGATGAGATTCATGCCAGGCAAAGGCTCTCTAGCACTTAGCTATATCTTAGATCTTGGGTTTGTTTGGTTGGTTTGTTTTCAAATTCATAATACAATGGTTTGCTCCCCATCTTGGGGTCGTTCTCTCCAATGTCTCATTGGAGTGTTTATTTTGCTTAGCTTTGCTATATAAACTTCTGCTTAAATTGTTTATGTCTTTTGATTTAGAGCTTTCAAGAAGACAAGAACCAAGACACTTTCATAATTCCATGTAAAATTACTCCTTACATCAAGCTTAACTTAACTTTGCTTGGTATTCATAGCTGTCAACAGTAGTTGTAAACTCACACATAGGTAATTCAAAATTAATCATCCAATTAGCTCACAGAATGAGGAATCAAGACACGGACTCATACTTCAAGGATAATTAACATACTTGTTCAATTATACTTCAAAAGCTCATATTCTTTCCATCCTAAAGCTATTCATTTACAAATTCCCCTCAATGCTAATCTTAAGATACCTATCAGCTGT